TATACGGGAAGCATACATTAAATTAAATATTTGCATTTCTCGTCAGGTACGTTAATTAAAGGTGTTTTCAATATGTTCAATACAACTATATGATATATTTGAAATTGGAACAATTGGTTAAACAATAACAGAGTCATTACATGATATAAAATAAATGATTTGAACACGAAATAAGGATTCATATTTGCCATTGAATAATCACTGATGAGCGTCAACTTGAGTCTTCAAGAGCATTTCAAAGTGTAGCACTAGTTATAAAACATTAATTCTAAATATGCATGAATTGTAATTATATAAAATACAAGATTTCATATATGTGCATTTTTTCGTCACAAACAAATTTTCATAAATTATGTGAGACAAACTGTACCAAGGTTAAGAATGTCACAGTACTTGTTTTACCTTAGTACAAAGGAGAAAAAGCAGAAGTGAATAAAAATTGGAAGAAAAAATAACCGTGGAAATTGTCATTGCAATTGTTTGTCTTTTACTATCCATTGATTACTTAAATTACGTAAAGATACATTTCGACTGTTCATAGCAACATTCCAAGTTTCTCATCACGCCATCGGTTACACGAACTGTTGAAACCTCAATAAATCAAAATTTCATTCACATACGTACTCATGTTTCGAATAAAGGAGATAAAACATGGCCAATCCAGTTGCATTGGCCGTCGTACAGAATGAAATATACGCAACTTATCTCTAGGGTCGATATTTCGCTATATTCTATACACGTGGCTGCCGCTAGCAATCACTCTTATGCGAGAACCATTTGTATTGTAATTATCCTGAGTAGAGGCCATTTTGACGCGCTCCCTGTCTCCCGCGAGGCGCGTGTTGTAGAGCGTTGTGGCGCCTCTTGCTCGCCGCCTCCACCGTCGCTGCTGCGGCCACCACTGCCGCCGCCATCGCCACCACCACAGCCGCCGCCGCAGCAGCAGCCGCAGCAGCAGCCGCCGCCGCCCACGCAGACTTGATCTCTCATTTCGGGAACGCGTTTTCGTTTCAATTCCGACAGCAAGTTCGAGGCAGTTGCGTGGTGCGCCCATCGACAAGGAAGAGTGTCTCATTTATAAAGCTCAGTAAGATAATTTATTCCAAAAGTAACAATTAAAGGGAAAAGACGACGCCGCACAGAAGGAAACTAAAGCCATTCCAACTTCAATTGAATGGATTTCGGAGCCTTGTTCTCTCCATCCGCACGCGGGAGCGGGGGCGGGCGCGGGGGCGGGCTCTGCGTTGTGCGGAGCCGGCCGTCTGTGCTCGCTAGCTTCGTGTCCTCCACTCTCGTTATGGAACACGCCCCCCGGCTCCCGCCCCCTCCCCTCCTGACAGGGCCCTGTCCTAACTCCGCTCCGGCCCGCATTGCCATCAGCATCCCCCAGCACCCGCCTCTCACCTCGTATGCTCTTGTGCATCCTCATCTGCACCCTTGTAATCACTCTGGGTTCTTCATTCACCGTCATTTCATTCCAACTCTTTTCATCACTTGTCTTTTCTTTTTCGTTTCTCAGATTCCACATCATTTAATTTTTATTAGTTCTTACTTTGACTTGGTGATACGTATTTGCCTTTTTGTTTTCTCCTTTCTCTACTTTTCTTTAAACGTTATTTCTTAGAGTGATTTCTAACTTTTTTAGTTCCGTTGTAATTTTCGTTTGTATTCTTTCATAATTGAAAACTCAATTGTTACTTTCACGTATACTATGCATATATAGAAAACTAGTCATCTACAGCAACAAAAGCTACTTGAGTAGTACAGCGAAATACTAAAACATATTTTTTTCTCTAATGGTACCACTCCTTGGTCCCGCTCTTGGCCTAACATTCGCGTCTTCGAAGTGAAGCCTGAGTCTTTCGCGCTAAGCATGTTAATTTTTTCATATGAGATATGAACGTGAGATCAGACTTGTGTTGAACTTGTATTTTGCAATAAGTATCACATACAATGCTGGAATGATACCTTTTTATATCATAAAATGTGAGAGTTTTATGACATTGAGAATGTCAGTGAATTTCACTGTGCAAATTGGTATGATATACAATTGTATAATTCAATACCAGTGCACTTCTTGAAATATTTTATCAGAACGATATTAGATTGAGACAATAATAACACTCTGTAATAAATATGATAGTAATGCCTTTATCCAGAAGCGTTTTACGTTATGAGATATTAATAAACTTCTTCTCAGAGATATAAATTTTCTTGACAGATATGTCACTATTGGTTTAAATCACAGAACATTCTTTCTCCTATGTTTTGTTATGATTATGTGATATTACGAAAGTGTCTGAAGCCAGGGAAAAATTTCGCGTGATATATATTTTTGCGGCCATCGATAGTTTACTTTACCTGGGTTGACTAAACTTCATACCTCATTTTCCAAACACTTTCCTCTGCGCGAATTCCTAACCCGCAAAAACGTTTGCTCGAGCTGGAGTTTGTTTCTCCATCAGTCCGTGTGCTGTCTGTCCGAATGTGCTGTTGTAGCATCACTAGTTCTCTTTCTCGCCGACATACACCATTTCTATCGCATTTTTTTGTCTGAATGCTTCGTTGTGGTTACACATCTTCCAATACATTCTCCAATCAAAACAAGCTCAGCTCTCGGTTTATATCTGACTAAACGTTTCTGCACAGCCTTTTAATTCTAGGGATTTGTTGGGATTCCGTTAACTATACTTTTTCGCGTTTCCTATTCCTTGCTTTCTCGCCAGCACTCGTCCCCACGTCCTTAAAATCGTGTCCTGTCATCGTGGAGCTTACGTCACTGTAGCGTCTTAAAACGTTGCTGCTCGTCACGTCACCTTTCCTTCTCCCTGAGCTTTGTCTGTCCCAGTCTCCGTCTGCCGCGGGGCGTTGCTGCTTCCGAAGGCGGCCCTTGTTTCCTCGAGGGCTTGTCGAGATTGATCAAGAGAAGTGCTCTAAGTCTACTGTTTCGCTTCCGAACTTTCGCGGGTAGAAAAATATGTTATAATGAAAGATTTTCATGAGTCAACGTCCCGGAAACGCAATCATGACGAAAAAAAAGGAGCGAAAGTTTGAGAAACTGTTGAAGGCTCTTTTGTAGGCAGAGGTTAATCTCTACTTTGTGGACGTTTTATCTTCAATTTGAAATGTTTCGAAAAGGCTGTATTGGCGGTAACACTCCGAAGGGCACAGTAGCGGAGGGAACAAATGTGAACACACTTTCTTGTTTGTTGGGTCGTAAAGCGGCCAGCGTCATTCTGTAGGTCGGAGTTACGGTGGTCGTAACGCTGTGTAATTTAAAGTCTCGGTGGGTTTGAACATAGTGTTGGGGTCTAGAGGCAATAACGACAGTCTGTGTAGCCTACATAACTTCGAAGTGCCACATGCCACATGTCGCATACAGCGTTCCTACCATTATCCGATAGTTTTACGAATAATATTTTAGACACAGTCATATTGAATACTTTTCTTTCTTGTCTGCATCGTTTTCGTGGCACATTCATTTAATTGTACCTTTTTATCGAATTTTTGTGAGCATCAGAAACTCGTACGTTTGACCGAATATTGGAGAATGGCGATTTGTAGCCATTTTACGCTGGAGTGCGTGTATACTAGTATTGAATTTGTTTCCGAAGCTATTTTATAATCTCATTACGTGTAGAATAACATGGCTATCTTACAAAGTGAGTTACGAGTTGTTTATAGACATGTGTAATCTGCAAAGGTATTAAAGATATCGTGAATCATTGGGCAATGAAAAACATACCGCTAATTAATACATTTTGAATTAAACTTAATTGATATTTTCAAATAAAGAGATTCTGAAGTATTAACATTGTTCTTTTCTTTTAAAAATCTTCAAATAATACATTGTTCAGGACTCAGAAGTTTTGCATTGTAGTTTATTTGCAGGTAATGTCGAATTTTATCAAAACAAATGTAATTTCATAACTAAATATTGTAGGTATTTGAAAATTAGAAATTCAGACTTTCAGATCAAGTAAGGAAATCAAGGAAAAATATTATTTATTTAGTTATACATTTATTATTATTATTATTATTATTATTATTATTATTATTATTATTCGAATATTCAAGAATTACTATAAAAAATTAAAATTAAAATACATTTATTTTCATATTATTGTCGGCGATATTTCCCCTATTTCAAGTTTTAATGTCAATAATCGTGCAGCGAGGAAATGTCTTTTCTTAGTTATATCATTAGCATGAGGTTATATGTGCGTTTTTGATTTAATTTGACGCATCTTCCCATTCTTCCGTTTCAATGAATTCTCATTTTGAGTCAATTTTCATTTCAGTGGACATTTTATCCAAATGGAATCTTTACACTATTTGATTCATATCAAAGCAAGAAGTACATAAATGACTTCCTTATCAAAATGCAGTAAGCTCATAAATCAAGAGTGGTAGAGTTTCAATAAATATCAGACGAAACTTATCCTGAAAGTTAAAAATAAATAAAATATAACTAATCCTGTTAAAAAAATTATCGTCCTTATAATATTTTTGAGAATTCTATTTAAAGACTTTCTTCGCTACCGTCATTAATAACTCAATGAAATATAATACAAGAGAGGTAGTAGGAATCTCGGAGCTTCATAAAACGCCAACAGATTGTATTTCTCCCGTGTTCGTTACATTTTAACCTGTTTTTGACGTCAAATAAAATCCGTAAATTAGCGAACTACACGGAAGCAAAAAAAATATTAATTCTTGATCCAGTTCACTGACAGTGATTTAGTTTGATGACATTAAGTTTCATGTTAATATCCAAATGTGACGGTCAAAAATTATAATAAAATGGAAATAAAGAGACTAGCACATGGTAATTGAATAAAATGTAAAACGATCTTTACTGATGTTACAGAGTTGGTCATATGGTATAATCACCTGTCGCAGTAGAGGAACAATAGCCAGGGGTAAAAAAACGGGATAAGCGCGTCCGCTGACCGGCGTAGGTGTGGGGGGAGGGGTGCATTGGAGGTGTTCGTACGCACCTGGGATGCGCTCCACGGAGTGCGCCACCATGCCCTTCTGCACGGCGGCGTAGTACTGCTCGCGCTGCGCCAGGTTGTGCTTGTTGTCGAGGGCGACGAGCGCGTGCGGCTGGCCCGCCTCCGCCTCCTCGGAGCCGCTGCCCGGCGCGCGCGGCGCCGCCACGGGGCCTGCGGACAGCACTCGCTGGTCCCTCGCTCACCCACGCCGCTCCGCCGCCCCCGGGCCCCGCCCCGCCCACTTCTGACACGCGATGCTCCATTCAGACCTCGCTCCGCCCCCTTCGGACCTCGTCCCGCCCCCTTCGGACCTCGCTCTGCCCCCTTCGGACCTCGTCCCGCCTCCTTCGGACCTCGTCCCGCCTCCTTCGGACATCGTCGCGCCCACTTCGGACCTCGTCCCGCCCCCTTCTGGACCCGCGCCGCCCTTTCGGACCTCATCCCGTCCCCTTCATATCCTTCCCCACTCCCTCCAACTTAGTTCCTTTCGAACCCCGCCTCGCACCCTTCTGGCCCTGGCCCGCTTCCTTACGTTGCCTTCCAGCTCCTTTCGGACACCCCTCTGACCCCGCCCCTCTCTATTCGGACCTCGCTCTTCCACCTTCGAATCTCGCCCCATCCTCTTCGGACCCCGCCCCGCTCCCTCTGCATCCCACCCCGTTTTTTACGGACCCCATTACGCTTCTTTAGGACCCCATCTCGCTTCTTTCGAACCCCGCCCCACACCTTTCAGACCCTGCTCCGCTCCGTCTGGTTGCCGCCCCGCTCATTGCGGACACCACCCCGTCCTTCTGACCCCGCCCCTCTTTATGCGGATCTCGCTCTTCCCCTTCGGACCCCGCCCCGCTTCATCTGAATCCTGCTCGGCTCCTTTCGGACTCCGCCTCGCTCCCTCTGGATATCGCCCTGCTCCTTACGAACCTCACTTCGCTCTTTTCGGACCCCGCCCCGCCTCTTCGTGACCGCGTCCCGCTCCTTTCCGACGCCGTGCAGCGTCTTTTGGACTCCGAATCCTGCCTTCCTCAGTACCCTCACTGATCGTTTCTTGTCTCCATTTTCTGTCTCGCTCCCCATCACCTGTTCTACTTTCTCCTTATTCCCCTTCAACTAACTTTTTCTTTTCCTGCCTTGTCACTTTCATACTTCCATTCCTCGTCCCTCCCTGCAGGCTCCACCCGCTACTGATGCCCTTCGTGATTTCTCCTTAACCTCTCTGCTGCAGCCTTACTTTCTCTTTTCATCTCCGCGCCATATCTCCTGCCTCAACCTCTCTTTATTCCATGTCATCTTAATTTTTCGGTGTCCCTTTAGGCACTCTTTAACACTGCTATAGACTTCCCTGAGGTCCCGGCCCGCAGACGCTCGCTCACAGAGCCTTCTCCCTAGCATCTGTGCTCGTTCTTTGCTTTCCCTCCCTTGTCCTGCTTACCATATCCTACTCTACATTTTCTTCATTCCTCGCCGATTCCTATCGTTCCCGCCCTCGCTTTCTTTCAGTCTCTATCTTTTTATGTTGCTTTCCTCCTGTGTTCATTGCTTTTTCTTGATTTCTATTTCTTACCAGTAGTGGCAACACCGTTTCCTCTGCAGTGTAGTTTACCGGGAGAGTTCGAGCCTCGGAGGTGACGGACTTTCGGCACTAGCTAGGTATTTCTCTCTTCTTAATCTATCACTTGTTCGTTACCCCCTCCCAATCCTTGTCTGTCTGCTTCACAAACCACACATTCACCACCTCTCGTATTTTATGTCTTAGGCATACTGCCTCAATGCCATCTCTCATTCTTCCCTTAATTGCATTTGTTTTCCACTTCTGTTTTCCAATACCTTTCTTTCTCTCTCTCTCTCTCTCTCTCAATGAAACTTGTTGTATGTCTCTGTATTTTCGGCCACTTACATTTTTTATTTTTATTTGTTGGCGAATTTCATTAATTCAGTTTAATTAATGAAACAGTGTTTGTGGTCTTTAAATAGTCTTTGAGAGTTTTAGTCCGTTTATAGTGGATATCATTAAGAATTAATTTTTTCAAGTTAGTAAATTAACTGCAGTACAAACATAAAAAGTGAGTTCCATTAAATGTATCTTGAAGTAATTCAAATAATATTTACAGTTATCCCGTTTCAATTCAATATATTAGTAATAAATGCAGGAAATTACTCATAATATATTATTGGAATTTTCAACACATAAGTATGTAGATAAATAATATATAGATAAATAGTATTTATTTTCCGAGAATTCTAAGTCCTCTTTGTTTTACATTTTCGGTGAGTAAGAGGTCAGACCGCTCAGTTTCCCCCTTTGGGTGTACCAGGGTTCAAATCCAGATCTCTATGTGGAATTTGTGATGGACAAAACGGACACGAAGTACATATTTTCGAAATTCTTCCGTTTCGTCTGCCTTGCATTCCACTTCATCTTCATCACCACCACTATCATCATCGTATTCGTGCATCACCATAAGTTTCCCTTTCGCCCCTCCCATTACTCTCGTGGTTTAAAAACGCAATATTGGTTAGTAGCAGAACCCGAGTGACACGTCTGCGAAACAGCCCCTTATGGAAGACTCCCCTCAATGAAGATAGACGGTAAAAAAATTCTCCGCTTTCTTTCTTCCTCAACAACCCTGGCAGTAATCTCTTTTCGCGCGAGAACCTCTCCCCAATCTCTGCACTCATTTTTCCGTCGCATCATCCTACCACTTTCTAATTATCGCAACAGGGACCCGACGAAACCCTTTTTATCCCCGCTTATCCCTTCTTATATATAGACCGAACCCTCGACACATTTTCATACTGCAATTCCCTGCGCAGGTGATCCTGTTTGAGACAGATAAACGATATAATGAACAAAGGCTCAGGTGGCAGACATACCACCACTTTTCCTGTAGACCCCAATAATTTGTAATCTAATGCAATCTTCTCCTTTGCGACCCTTTTTTGTGACCTACCTGGTCGCGCCTTTTTATCACCCCTTTTGACGCATTTTGTCGGACCTCATCATCGCCTTTCATCTTCCCTTTCCAAATAATCACCTACGCGCCGTCTGGCGCTCCCCTCTCCCTCCGCTCTGTTCGGTCTTTCCCCTCCCCACAATTCTCTCCGGCCAGGGGTGCGCCTGACAGGAGAACAATCAATGAATGATACCCAGGTGGCCGACGAACCACGATCTTTTGTGTTGCCCCAATAATTTCTAATGCAATCCCTCTTTGATTTCACTCCAAGCCAGGGCCAGGTTGTCAGAACGCTTTCACTGGCTGTTCAACCATTCTTTCGAATTCCGCAATCGCCCTCACGGCCCTCACACTTTCTATTATTCTCTTATTCTCTTGACGTTATAGTTGCTATTCGCATTTATTGTGTCGGCTGCCCGCGCACTAAATGCTGCTTCATGTGCAGCTAAATATTATTGTCGTTAATATATTAACTAAGTGCCTGAGAAAAAAAATTCAAATCATCTCGCGTGGAAATATATAAAAAAAGCCAATCTTCAAATTACATTATATTTTTCAAAGTCGTTTATTTTAAATATTCAATAAACTATTTTTTCTTCTTGTCGCTCTTTATTTCCGACTATTGGACGTTGAAATTTAAGGATTATTTTATAATTTTATAATAATATATTTGTAAAAATCTGTCTGTTGTACCGGCACAAGGGGCTCATGATCTGATGTCTCTGCAGTGTCACTGACCGTCTGTTCCCAGGATTCAAGTCCCAAGAGTGGCAGGATTTTTGCCACTAGATAGCTAAGTCGTATTCAGCCACTGTTGGGAGGAGAATTCTAGCACCGGCTGCTCTGATCTGTAGTTTTCCTTGGTTTCTCCGATCAACACTACGTGAATGCCAGAGCAGTATACTGACAAACTGGCCACGGACCGCGCGCGATCTTTGCTTCCTCTTCCTAGTCCTATCCTTATTTACACTTACACGCAAGTGTACTGCATTACTACACATCTGGAGACCAGTAGTGTGCTTAGAACTCGTCCCTGCTTGTTTAGTGCCCCGCTCATGGAAGATAGTTCGGAAATCCCCGCAAGTCAAAGTGTAGGTGGGCGACGGATCTCGCGATCATGAGGGGTAAAATCACCACTTCCTCGATAAAACATGTATTTATTTTACAGTTTTCAAAAATAGATGATTGAGCTTTTCTGAAAATCCGTAAGTTTGAGCTCATTTTAACCGAAAATTGTTGTATTCAAAAAACTTTGTACGACATTATTTAAAGCACATGTACTTATAAATACCATAATATAAAACAAATTGCCGCTATTGTAAATGATAGCGAAGTGAGAAACAAGTAAAACATATTCAATAAGCAATAAGTAAAACGTATTCATTATACTATTATTATATTTCTATGGCGTTTATGCCATCTTATAGAGTGCGTTTATCACTATCTTAAAGAACAAAAAATTGGAGCCGTTTTTGAGATAATCTTGTTTTCTAATTTTAAAACAATGCAAATATTGCACGCAAAAACACTAAAAGTGTCAAGAAAATGTACATTACCTTAATGAAAAAACGAACTACACACTATTTTTATTTGAAAGAAAAGTCTCATCTTCAATTTTATCGTTGTAGGAAGACGCCGAAAAAATTCAAATTTTTGCAATTTTCAAAAATTTAGAGCTAATCGTCAAAATTGGATCTATGCCACATTTATAAGTGTATTTTAATCAATATTTACAAGGAATTTATGGAAAAAATTAAAGCCTATTTTGAGAGAATTTTGAAAATATGCGGGATGTAAAGTAACCCCAAATTTTGAAAAATATTTTCAAAATTGCAGCGCCTTGTGTCGAGTCAGATTGATCGAATAATATCCATTTTGTAAGAAATTGTACCTAAGGTTTAAGCGCTAGTGATGTTCATAGATTGATAGACGGACAGGCGGACAGACAGACGGTCATTTTGAAAAAAACAACAACAAAAAACACCACCACCTTTTCTGTATCAGGGGACCCCCATTTCCTTTAAAATATCAAAATTTATATTTCTTAACATTACTTAACTTTCTCTATACTACGTATAGACAAAGTAAAAAGAATTATCATCTGAGATTTCCTTCGAGTTAAACTATATTGTAAGCCAAATAATTAAGGGCACTTTCAAGCTCCATTTCAAATACATATTGAATTGAATTGAATTTGCCTTATTTTTTACGTGGCGAGACTCGGGCCATCAGGCCCGCTCTTCCGTCTGACCACGCAAATTTCGCTACGCTCCTTTCACTCACTAGCGGAGAAAGGAGGTATTTCTTGGGCG